CGTGTACATAAGAGGCAGACATTGAGCATCCACTGACTTCGGCTAACCAAAAACAGCACCAGCAAAATAAAATGGCCAAAGTCAAATAGCTGCTCAGAGATACATGCTAGAAACCCACATCAAATTAAAACATGCTAATGAAAACTTCGTTTGGCCTTAAGGCTTAACAACGGTTCAAGCATCCATCCATAGAAATTAAAGGAGTAACCCGTTGTCCTACTCTTAATCCAACTAAAAGCTCTTAGTTGCACTAGCTCAAAAATTCTTTCCTCTTCACATACTTGGTTTTTGAAGATTTTTCTATTTCTAGCCATCCAAAGAGACCATAAGGTGGAGAACCATACCACATCCTAGCTAGCTTGTACTGATGAGTCTTTTATGGGAGGCCTGTGCTGCTCGAAGTCTTCTTGGCATGTCTTTGGGTGAGCCGTGAGAAACCTCCACCATCTTGCACATTTGCTTCTTACTGAGTGAGCCACTCTACAAGGAATAAACAGATGATTGGTATCTTCAATGTCATCACCACACAAACTGCACATCAGGCTATTGTCGGTATAATTCTCGTCTGATACAGGTTGAGTTTTGTGGGTATTCTATTCTGCAGGACTTGCCAACCAAATGCACTGATTTTTGTGGGAATGAGTTTCTTCCATGTCCTTTTATGCATTTGCGTTCTGCTGTTGTCGTTGTTATTGGATAGGAGACCGTAAGCTGTTTTGAGTGAGTATTCTCCTTCTTTGTTGTGTTTCCACTCCCAGTGGTCTGTTTGGTCTTTGATTGGGTGTAAGTTGTTGATTAGTCCCAGCATCTCGGTGAGATTGTCTTTCTCCCACTCATACAACGATCGTCTCCAATGAAGTGTCCACTGCCAGGTATCTTCCCTCCATAATCCCATTTGAGAGATTCTCTTTTCTTTATCTGTGGAAGCGAGATATAATTGGGGGAATCTATTGGCAAGGGATTGATCTCCTGTCCACACATCCTTCCAAAAGTTGACATACTGCCCGTTCCCAAGCTTCAATTTAAAACCCCCTGATAGCCATCCTCTGCTGTTTGGATCCAAATCGTCAATCCTACATAAGTTTCTCCACCATAGAGATCCCCTTTGGTCATCCACCTGCACCCAATCAATCCATCTACCCTCCAAACAACCATACTTGTGCTGGATAATGTTGTACAATAGACTCTCCTCCCCACTTGCAAGTCTACCCCACCACTTTCCCAATAATGCTAGATTAAATTTTCTGAGATCTTTGACACCTAGCCCACCCTCCATCTTGCTGCTACAAACTTTGTCCCATGAGACCCAGTTGATTTTTCTCTTGCTCCCCCCTCCCCCCCATAGGAAGCTCTTACAGATTTTATCTAAGGAAAGAATCAGACCTTTTGGGAGTAGGTGCACAGACATGGTATACACTGGGAGGTTGGACAATACTGCGTTGAGGAGTGTAATCCTTCTGCCAAGAGAGAGGAGCCGGCTTTTCCAATTGCTCAATTTTTTCTCAAAAGATTCAATCAGTGGTTTCCACAAAGAAATTTTCTTCACACTACCGCTTATTGGAACCCCCAAATATCTGCATGGAAATGTTCCTTGCTTGCAATTCAATATGTGGGCCATTTTTGACATCCATCCCTCTGAAACATTTATTCCTACAAGTTGGCTTTTCCCAAAATTAATTTTCAAACCCGATACCAACTCAAAGATTCTCAATATACTCTTTGCTGCCCATATGTTGTCCTCTCCGGCTTTCCCAAATAGGATCGAGTCGTCCGCGAATTGCAGATGAGACACTTTCAAACCTCTACTGCCAATATCAATTCCGTCAAACAGTCCATGGTTGATTGCTGAAGAGATAATACCATTGAGGCCTTCTGCAACCAACAAAAATAAATAAGGTGAGAGTGGATCGCCTTGTCTGAGTTCTTTGTTAATTTTGACTTGTCTCGTTGAGCTACCATTGAGTAAGATCGACGCCTCTGCCGTCTTCAGACATTCGTTAATCCACCGTCTCCATTTTGGATCAAACCCCATCCTCGACATCATGTAATCAAGGAATTCCCAACGGACCTTGTCGTACGCCTTCTCGAATTCTATTTTGAGCAGGAAACTAGCCTTCTTCTTCCTCTTCGCTTCATCGATTGTTTCATTTGCTATTACAATACTATCAATCATATGTCTACCTTTGATGAAGGCCATTTGGTTTTCTCCAATAATGCCATCCAGAACCGAACAAATTCTGTTTGTGAGGAGCTTTGCGATCACCTTGTACATGATGCCGATTATAGAAATGGGTCTGAACTCTTCAATTTTCTGGGGGTTCATAACCTTGGGTATCAACACAATGAAGGAACTGTTCGCTCTTCTGACCAATTTCCCATTTTTGTGAAAATCATCAACAAAACCCATCATGTCATCTTTGATCGTGTCCCACATTTCTCTGATGAATTTGAAGTTGAAACCATCTGGCCCTGGTGCTTTAGAACATCCGCAGCTCCATACTGCCCTTTTAACTTCTTCTTCATTGAAGGGAGCAAGTAAAAAGGAATTGTCTGCTGATATCTTTTTGAAATCAATTCCGTCGAGATGAGGTTGTTGCCACCTTTCTTCTGTGAACAAAATCTCAAAGTAATTTGCCACGCCTTCCTTGATCTCTTGCACATGTTCCATGTGTTTGTCTCCCACTTGTAAGCTAACAATGTCGTTCCGTCTCCTTCTTCCCTTAACACACCTGTGGAAGAATTTTGTATTAGCATCTCCGTCTTTGATCCATGTTGTCCTTGCTTTTTGACGCCACATGCTCTCCTTCACTTTTTGTTGTTTCCAGAGTTCCAGAAAACTGCTCCTTCTTAGATGCACATCATCATCATTCAAATCTGCTGACACCCCCTTTGATATCAATATCCGCAATAGAGTCTTTGCATTTCTTAATGATGAGGTCCGTCTCCGACACCATTGTTTTGCCCCACTCCTTCAAAGCTTTCTTCGTTTCCTTCATCTTCTCTTTAAATCGGTATCCATGCCATCCCTATATCACTATTGATTTCCATGTCTCACTCATTAGCTCTTTAAGTCCTGGTGAATCCAACCACATATCGAAGAATCGAAAAGGTTTAGGGCCCCAGTCAATTATTTGATTCTTCAACAAAATAGGGCAATGGTCTGACAATTCTCTCTTCAGCCCGCATTGTTTGACATCACCCCAGTTGAGGCACCAATTTTCTGACAACAAAAACCTGTCTAGCTTGCTCATAACAGATCCATTTGAATCATACCATGTAAATTTTTGATCAATTAAGGGGAGGTAAATGAGGCCACATGTTCTAATAAACTCATCAAACTCTATCATTTCCCTCCTATTTGTTCTCCCACCCTTCCGTTCTTGCTCACTTCTGATGGCATTAAAGTCTCCCATTAAGCAACAGTTGCTGCCTGCTTCAATCATCAATTCCTTAATACTAACCCATAAGGCTCTTTTACCCGTCATATCACAAGGTGCATAAATATTAAGAATGTGTACAGGGATTTTAGAGGCCCCCCCAGGTTCCATATATCCCCATATAGCTCTCGCCTTCGATTACTCTTTCTTTTTTCATTATGTCACAATTCCAAATGCATATAAGCCCTCCAGCCGCTCCTCTAGATGGTTTTGATACCCAATCAAAGTTGTCTCCTCCCCAAATGTTTCTGCATATCTGATAATCTACCCCCTCTATCTTTGTTTCTTGGATTGACAAAAACTCCACTTTTTCTTTCTCAACTAACTCTCTAATACCTCTCTTCTTGCCCTCACCCCCCAAACCTCTAATGTTCACTGACAAGATAATCATTTAAGTTTAGAAACCTCCTCCCCCCCTAGATCGGCTTTACTAACCTTTGAGGTGCTGTGCAGCTCCCTATCGCGCTCTTCCATATCTCTGAGTCTCTGGATCACCTCTGCTTCATTGCCATGATCGCCAACTCCGATCTCCTTTGCGAATGCCCAAATTCTCTCCGCAATTCTCAGATCCATAGCATTTCGAAGAGCCACGTTTTTGTTTTCGATGCCGCTGTCAGTGACTGATTCTCCTGCAGCTTGATTTTGGAGTCCAGGTACAAATACCGGCAGCTTCTCTTCCGTTGTTCTTTCTTTTGGAATTTTCTTCCTCCCCTTTGGATTGTGCTCCTGCTCCTCCTTTCTTCCCTTCATGTACACTGAGAGGCAAGATCTGGTTTTCTTCTTCTTCTTGTGTTTCGGTTTCCTCTGATTTCTGCCCATCCATTCTCGCTCTTCCCCAAATTCGCTCCTAAACCCCTTCCAGAAGGACGACTCCTGCTCTGTATTGTGACCTTCTGTTGATGATGCTCTGTTCCTCACTTCTTGTTGGATTTTTTTTGGAGAGATATCCTTTTGATAATACATTCAATATTTGTTGAAATGGACCCATCCTTCTGTATCTGCCCGTCCACTTCTTCATTAGTGGGTTTACTGCCACCGGACATGAATGCATCTTGTTTTGGAGGCCTGTGGTTAATTGTGGCCCAAATGTCATTATTCTCTAAAGGGTCATCCTCCAGTGGGCTAGACAACGTTAGAGGCCCCACCGTTACCCACTTACTCTGCCAATCCTTATTTTGACCAATCTGTGTGGCCTGACTATCCGACACAATCTCCAAATTAGCTATGGATTTTTCATGATTGCTAGTGCAGCAAATTTGAATTTTGTCATCTCCGTTAGTCTGTTGATTGTCTTGGGAATCGGCTGCATTAAATGCTATGTCATTCACCGCCGAAAGTTGAGCACCATTTGTATTTTGGCGCTCTTGTGACCAACGGTAAGGTGGCTGTTCATCTCTGTCATCTTCCTCTGTCACCTCATCCTTTACTTCCATGTCATCGACAACCTTCTTCCCACTGGAGGAACTCCGGCCACCATTTACTTCCCCACTGCCTAAAAATGCCACACTTACTTCATCATCCACACCGTGGTCCAATGACTAGGATTCCGAAGAAGCATCATCGGAGTCACTCAATTCCCTGAACACGTGGTCGGATTTCATTGAGAAAATTCTGTTGGGAGCCTCTTCCTCCGTTACTTTGATCAAATAAGGTTCCCTGTTGACCGAGATGTTGATACTTTTGGAGATGAAATCTGTCACCGGTGTAGATATCAGCATTCTTCCTACGTCAAACCTCAGTTTTTGCTGGTATTGTCATCCAAAGTAATGAACTTTCCCCACACGGTACCAATTGTAGTGAAGAAGTTAGGCCCCCAAATGTGAGCAGGGACTCCTTGGCATCGAAGCCATACAAATCTCTCCCTTGCAACCGTTGAAGGGCACCATGGTTGAACTTCCGTGAACCATTGTTCCAACCATTTTGGAGCAACCTCTACTAAATCTTTAATCTCCTCCTTATCTCCACCCTCAAGTAGGACCAGGCGTCCGCCCATGGCTTTTATTCTACATGAGAAGTATCCCTCCATGAAGAATTTTTCTTGTAATGTTGGGATTATCTCAACTGAGTGGGCAATCCCCACATAGCAGCCTTGAAGCCAAGTGTACTCTTCCTCTTGGATGGTGAAGCTCAAACCTGCCTTAGCTTGCTCCACTTTCGGATGCTTGGATAGATTGTTTATTTGTGTTTGGTTGTGTTCTTCTGCTCCATTTGCTGCTCTCCTACTTTCCAGATTTGCTTCACTTCCACTGATTCCCTTTACCATTTCAGCAAAAGTTATGTGTCCTCTGAATCCTACGTTCCCTTTTTGTCTCTGGGCTACTCTTAACTGCTTCTCGTGCTCATTGAACCTCGGTTTATTAACCCATAATTTGAATTCCCCCACTCGAATCTGATCAAGTTGGTGTTCCAATTCCTTCTCATTTCTGACGTCCAAGAATCTGACAAACCCAAATCTGCTCCCCTTCCTGGATTTCCTCATGGGGCTGTAGATGTCCAGGACTCTTCCATACTTACGAAAAGTATGCCACATGTGTTCATGCTTCCAAGCCTCTGGAAAGTTGGTGGAGAAATACACGGAGGCTTGATTAAATATTCGACGATCGTAACCCCGAATTTCAGAGTTTCTAGAACTGTTCTGTCGTGTTTCTTTCCTGTCTTGCACTGGTCGGTTCCATCTTCTGGGGTTGGATGTTTCCCGGCATTGGGCCGTCCCTCTACCGCACGGTCCTTTACCGTTGAACCTCTCTCTAGCTTTCCCTCTCATGCTCTTGTCTGTCTATTTTTTGTTGAATAAAATTCCATTCATCTTAACACTGAGAAGAATGTGTTGATAAAATCAATTAAGTACAACAAAAAAAAAATATATATATATATA